CATGAACAAGAGACGGCTCAGTCAGGCCAGTTTGCTCAGACTTCCAACTTGCTTTTTCCCGGCCCGGGAAAAAGCAAAATGGTCTAGACTTTCAATTAGCTTTTTCCCAGGCTAGGAAAAAGCAAAACGGTCAAGACTTCCAACCAAGCCATTTTCATTTTGGTGTGTTTTTGGTTGGGCGCAACTCTCCATGAACAAGAGACGGCTCAGTCAGGCCAGTTTGCTCAGACTTCCAACTTGCTTTTTCCCGGGCCGGGAAAAAGCAAAATGGTTCAGATTTCCAATTTGCTTTTTCCCAACCCGGGAAAAAGCAATCGGAAGTCTGAAGAGCAAGTGTTCTTGCAGCGTGGCCAGGTCACCAACATGACTTGCGCAGACCTTTCGCAGGACCTTCGCGAACCTTTCGCGACTGCAGTGAGAGCACAATCGAAATCAGCCTTTGAAATTCGATTACTAACAAGGAAGAGATGGGTTTTTGAACGACGCTCATGTGGCCCAAGGGTCATCCCGTGGGCAAATTCTTAGTTTATAACGAAACAATGAGGTCCTTTTGAGAATCGTAGAGGTCAATGTGGTACAAAAGTTCCTATTGGTTTGTACTAGGGCTCCCCTCATATGAATCAACCAATAGTAAAGGGCCATCTAAGATTTGTTTGTTTCCTCTAGCTCCCGTTTGGCAGTCGACCCCGCCTGAACCGCAGATCGCTTCAACCGAAGAGAGCATTCCGAACAGCAGTCGACTCTTCTCAGGTTGCATCGAATCAACAGTTGTTGCACAGAACATGTCAACCCTGGCACCGCAAGGAAGGAGCCACCAGCCAATTGAAAGCTTTGTGACCAGTTTGCTTCGCACTTTAACTTTTGACACACCTTTCATATGACACACTACTGTTCCTTCAGTTCCAAGGGTTCTTTTCCTTTGGAGACGATCCCCCCCTTCAACCGACCCGCATCCGCCTGAATCAACCGTCCGACGAACTCTCACCGCGGTGTCGCCCCGCGGTGTCCTGACGAGCGCCTGACGGCAGCTTCGACCCGGTGCCGAGCTTCGAGACGTGCGGACGGTTCGTCTTGGATCGCTCAAGGTGGATCACATCTACTCCTTGAACCTAGAGGTCGAATCCCTCATAGAGGTCGCGGTCATGGGATGTCATGAGGTTCGAAATCATGTGGGATGGATTCATGGTGGTGAACTCCGACCGTTGGTCATGAAGAGGAACATGGTGATCCGATAAATCGGAGGGAGCCACATCGGAGCCATGCCATCCACATAACAAGGATTTGTTTGCAGGGAGTGTAGAGTCCAGGAAGCGCCCGTCGAGCCCAGTAAAGTGGCGCCTGGAGTTTTGTTTAAAGAATGAAGAGATGGGCACGATGGGTGGTTCAAACAGCTACCTTTAAATTTAAATACTTTGGGTTCCTCTCTTGAGGGCACGTGAGGGAACGTGAGAGAACCTCCTCTTTGTGTAGATGCCTTGTCAGCATCAAGTTTGTCATATCTATGATTTTAATATACAACATTGGGGGTGGGTTGTTTTGAGGCTAACTCTGGGTATACTCTCACATTTTTTACCCGACAGAATTGACCCTCCCAAAAGACATGACCTCTTCCATACCCAGGTGCGGTGAAGAAATGAGTCTTGATCCCCAAGGGTCCAGGACCATCCGAGCAGCTCGGATGTCCTGCTGTCGGCCCAGGCAGTTCGGCAGTTCGACCAGGCATCGCTGGACGTAACTCACCAAACATATACTCTCACCATCCGGAGACAACTGGAATCGAACCCAAAAAAACAAACAAACATGACCATGCATGGATTATGTTATATTATGTTGTTGTGCCTCTTTTTCTTCATGGGTCTGCTCCTTTACAATCCCTTGCCTTTGGTGTTCTCCAGGTTGAAAGTTCCACCACATCACCGGCGACCCTTGACCCTTGACCCTCCATCCGTCGACGGTCCATTCGACGGTGCAAGGATGAGACCGTTTCGTGTTTGACACGATCGATATGCCAAGGTCGAACGGTCGATCCTCTTGCAACAATCCTTAACTCCCAAGAGTTATATATATACCCTGAGATCTATAGGGATCCTTTTTAGCGTGCCACCAACTCTTTTTCATTATTTTGTTGTCCAAACATCACCGACTTTGACGTAGACATGGTTCAAGCTTATGAAAGAACATCAATGCAAAGACAAGCACTAGCAGGAGGAGTTCGAACAGGAGTGGTCTTAGGTCCACCCAGCAAATGGATCGAACCAGCATCTGCGCAGCAACCCGAGGGTCGTCTCTACATGTACCCCAGGTCTCTCCCAATCCAACAGCGTTCTGAGTCTCCCTGCCACAATGGGGCAGGTGCCAGGCCGCTACGCGCCAAGGCGCTTGGAGAACAGGCCTCCGCTAGCGGAGAACTTGGGAAAGCCCTGGAGAGCTGTGAGAGCTGCTGTGAGAGGAGAGGTCTGTGTTTGTGTTTCCAGGAGTGTAAGTTTACGTAAAGATCAGTGTTTGCATTTGTTTCAACTTATATGTTGTTCATTGTTGTTCGATTCTATGTTTTCCTCATCTCTTGATTCGTTGATGTTGGGTGGCTGAACGGAGCGCCAACAATTGGAACATATGTCCACATCTTTTCGACCAAATGCATCAGTACAGCATGAGAAAAAACAAAATAAACACACCAAACAACACCTGGGCGCATCTGTTTGGTGACCACGTTTGTGCCATCAACTGCTCGTTTTGCGTTTGACCGAACCGCGACGTAAACCGACCTCACTCGACGTAGAACCGCCGCCATGGCGACGGGACCGGCGACAGGGTGGAGAAAACGCCCGAAAAATGGATGAAAGGTGATAATTAAAATTAGTAGTACTAATTTGTTACTACTAGCTTCTTGTTACTAGTAGTAAGGCACCTGTTACTACTAGCGTGGCACCTGCTACTAGCCAAATGTTTCCAGGTGTCCAGGACTAGGCTGAGATCTGATCCAGACTTGAGACCTCGGAAAAGACCTCTTAGATGAGCAATGCTGCGTGCACTGCATGCAGGATCCGTATGATGTTGTAAGCGAGTGGGAGGGATGTCTGTCCATGAGGTAAAATCATGTATAATCTAAGGACTTGAGGTGTGCAAGCTGCACAAGCCATGGATATAGCTTCGGGTGCTGTCTATGGCACAGTCCAGACTTGGAGCCTCTACTGGCACAGCTAGGGCTTTACGCAACACCTGATTGAAGCGGTATGCTGCACTCTGCACATCTCTGCACTACGTACTTGAGCTACCAGATCAAACATCAGCTGCATCAGTGTCGCAAGCATGCCAGGCGTCATCAGGCGTCTAAACTCCTCTACTTGAAGGTCAAGCATGGCAGGCTAAGCTGCTTGAATTTAGAAAGGTTTGAAAGCCTTTGGGCTAGGAAAGAGTGAAAACAACAATGATTATTGGACTCGACCAACCAGCGTAGTTGTTTTCAGTTTGCCTTCTGGGCGAATGGTCACCGCCGAGCCTTGATTCTTCGGCCCAAATGCTAATCAGAAAACTGGTTGTTTGTGAATGGAAGAATGGAAGAAATCAGTCAAACCAAAAAATGCCCGACACTTACAGTGCAAAAGCTGGGTCTATGCAGGGTCCCCTCGGAGTTCAACCCAAGGCGACGGCACCGTCCAAGGCTACAGAAGGCGAACTCACGGCGAACCGCCTCCGGAAAGACCGAAGACTCCAAAACTCACTCCAAAACAAACTCCACATACTCACTATTCGATCATGAAATATATCTAGATTCAAAACATGCCATATACTCACTCCAAACACCCAGATTCGATCTTGTCAAGTGCCATATGCCGAAGTCTGCAGGCCTTTCGACACTCGAGCCGCGGCGCATTTTCCCCCACCTCAAAACCAGGGGGTCGCGATAGGCGGACACTGTTGCGCGGTACGAGTCGTGCGAGGCAAATGTACCTGGGCCTCTAGTCCTAAATCAAGCAATGTTTCATTTGTGGCTGTGCAATGTCAATAATAAAACCAACATCATGCCTCATACATCATGTCCTAGCACCCAAACATCATGCCTCATAGTTCCTACATAATAAACAAAACAAAAACCAACGGCTTTGCCTGTAAGTGTAGAGACATCATAACCAAACAAGAAGTCATCCCTCACGACATGAATTTTGGGGCTGTTGACCAGTGACTATGTTCACCATCCTACCCCAACAGCCAGTAAAACGGTCCAGTTTCCCCAAATCGTTTACTCACGTTGGGGAGTAAATGCTGAGTCTGCCAGTCAGTTTCGTCCGTCTGTTTTGTGGGGGTGACTTCGAGAACCACTTCCATCTCAGCACATCTGCTCTGGATCACACATCAAGCAAAGCTGAATCAACTCTAAGATACTCTAAGGCTCCAAATACATTTTCTTAGAAGGTAGTTAGACCCCCCTGGCACCAAGCCCAAGCCTTCTCAGGAGGTAGGCCTGCCAAAAAGTCACCATTCTAGACGGCCCAAGGTCACACTGAATGCCCGCGCCAGCTGCCGTGCAAAAGATCTAACATTCAAAGCGATCATCATTGTCCGGGGGTTGCGAAACAAGAGCCCCAGAAGAAACAAAAAAACACACAAAGGCACACGAGGAGCTGTTCAGCATGTTCTGTGGAATCGGCATAGCCTAGAGGAATGTAAAGTATAAGTATGATATATCCATTGATATCCTAAACGTATACCCACAAGTTTGTCATTCTGCCACCGCATCGTGGAAGTCACTCGGCAGAGAGGGGCCTTCGCCAGATGCAGCACGCGATCTTCGCCAACGGAATCGCTCCGATGCCGAAGTGCGATGACGACTCGGTCAAAGCGATGCGTTCAGACTCGGAGGCCAAGACTCGGTGTCCTTGAAAGACTGAACCCCCGAGCCGTTTCCGAACACTGTAGAGTGTTTTATTCATTTTTCTCCAGCTGTTCTTGCTTAGCGCAAAAAACCAATCCCCCGCAAAAAAAGGTAGAAGGTTATCTACCACTTTCCTGGGTATAGGAATAGGGAGAACACCAGTTGGACATTGTGGTAACAGGAACAGGACACATCGCCGACATAGCTCTTCGGACGCCGCACTGTGTCCAGCAATGCAGCATAGTGCCGCTATGCAGAGTTGTAAATTATGTGTCATCACGGGTCATCACCAACAAGGTGTTTCGTTTGGTGGATTGCCTACTTTCCCTAGAAAACGAATCTTCTTGTCAATCAAAAAATGAAACCTCACTCTATAGATTCACAACAAAATAAACACTTTAGATGAAGGGCATATCAGGCATACCCTATAGTATAGTCTTATGTTCTTATATAGTTTTGTGATTTTGCGTGATAACTCTCTTGGTCTCCTTTCGACATGTCGAAACGTCGCCGTCGCCACGTCTCGGTCGTGGCGCGGCTTCGGCCGGGCTGGCTCCTCAGCACTGGAAGTGCTTGGCTTCGACTCCACAGGCCTTGAGCAGAGCGGGGCCACGAGGCCAATCAGGTCTTTGAACCCAAAGTCTCTGTCACCTTAAGGGAAATCCAAAGGGAAATCACACCTGGAAAAACCAATAATTCAGGTCAGTTCGGGGGTGGAATTGTCTTATAAAGCTTTTGGAGCCCAACCCTTCAGCTACAACCCCTTCAGCTCCTCCAAGAGGGATTGAACTTACTCTGATTCATGTAACATTGGAAGTGGATAGCAAGGTCCCTTCAAATGACGACGATTTTCCTGCACAAAAGAGCGGGTGCCATCCATTTCCATGTGATGCGTTCGTTGGAGTTGTAGCTCTGAAGAGAATGGATTGTCTCTCAAGAAGGGCAAATGGGATCCCATTGTCCTTAGAACTTCGGCTGGCCTCAACATCAACTTAGATGGACATTGACTCCGCAATGATTCACCATGGACCCCAATCGATTCTGCCGGTCGGCCAGCCGCACCTACGCACCGGTCACGTCCTGTGTGACCTGTGATTGTTGCGATGTGTCCCAGGACATCTGGCCGTCCGCTTTACAACTTCTCTCTCGCCTTCCAACCAAAAACACTCCCCCCCAACCTCAACTCCAAACCCAAGGCCCTCCACCTCGCATCATCAACCGCTCCGCTCCTCGCTTTCGCCTCCACCCAACCCGACGCGACCGGAGCCGACCCTAAGAGACAGGCCTTCTGGATGGCATCCACCGTGCAGGGCATGGGCATCTGGAAATGCTCTGGCAGACCATTCTCCTTCCGCACCGACGCAATGGCCTGACCACGTACCGAGACAGCGGGACACGTTTTCGTCACGTCGAAAAGAGAGGGCCAAAGGGCCGATTTGTACAGGTGTAGAGGTGAGGTGCAAGAAAACAGCAGCAACAAATAGCAGTTTCCACTCAACAATAACATTCACCACCTATATATATATATATATATAGCGTTTGTGGCTGTGGCTCGACCAATTGGGTGCCATTCCCATACCCCTTGTATAGCAAACATAGACCAAAACCGCAGGGTATGGATCTTCTTTTTCAGCCATTCTCATATGTACGAGCTTTGGTACGATTCATCTCTGGTGCTTGATATCTTCCATTATCTTCCCATCATTTTTGCATGATTCCACTCTTTGTAGGCCCTAGGGATCCTAGCCCCTACCTCCATTTCGGTTCGGTGCTTGGGGTGGGTGCCAGCGGGGTCTGAGGATATGGGCCAGGAGTCCTACAGTAGGGACTGTCCAGTGCAAAGTCCGGAGGCTACTCTCATTCAGGATCCAAACACCAGAAGTCGGAGTCCTTCTTAAGCACTTCGGGGTCCGTTTGCACCCTCGTGAGGACTGGGTCCAAGCACCCCCTTGTAGAGATTTGTGGTGGTTACAGAGTGACATCAAAAGCCTTCCTATTCGAGGTTCAAAACCAAAAATGATCCCCCCATATCTGAAGAGGTGTTGTAGAATCCAAATGGATCCAAATGGGGTATCATGAGTCTTCTGAATCAACATGAATCAACTGTCTACATCGACGTCCATTGGGTGGAACATGGTGGAATTTTCTTGAAACGAACTTCCACTTCTGCACCCCCACGCCGATGCCTGCGGCTTGACTCGATCTGCTAAACTCACTCACGCGCGTCCACGGTCGCCCACCTTCTTCGCTGCGCCCAGGACACTGTATGCTAACCTGGGCAGTCCGGGCTCCTTCACGAAACATCATCTTGGCCACCACGGGCTGGGTGGAATGGCCAGTGGCGAAGAACTGCGTGGAGGTTGGAATGCATCTGCAGACATCGAAGATTGGAATACAAGCTTCACACTGTGAAAACAGACTTCTGGGTTTCAACGTTCCCAGCTTCCTGCTTACTTTGGCTATGTAGTCCGGACTGATCACGTACAGACCTTTCTCCTCCAGCCTCCGACCCCTCAACAATCGCACCGTGGACATCCACGCCCCGAACTTGGCCTCGCCCCGCTTGCCCAATCTCACCATCGCCGGGACCGTCCCATATCCGGAGCCAGGGAACATGAAAGGTGGTTCTCCTCAGATTTGCTGTCCATGAGCCGGCAACAAAATAACACGTACTCCATCATACTCTATCATACCCAGCGGAGGTAACCAATGCAGGAAAATCATAAAATGTACACCCTGACTCACTAACATGGAAGTGGAAAACCCCTTGTTGGTTGAGGAAAGTAGTCTTCCAAGGGATCATTTTCCACTTCCATGTTAGTCAGTCAAAAGGTACCCAACCTTAGCCAAACCAGGTCTCCGATGGCCTTGGACCCCAAGACGCCCTTGGGGAAGGGGTTGTCTCGCAGCAACTCCACTTTGAACCTGAGCTTTCGCCCGGAGAGAAATTCGGTTTGCGCGTGCGTCCTGAGCGGTCCGTCCGCATGGGTAGAAGCGGCTGGAGTTGGGAGGGGTCAAGGAGACACAGCATGACACAGCTGTCGATAGCTGCACAAGATGGAGGCTGTTCTTATTGTGATGATCGTGATGCCTTTCAATTCATCTTCATCCCCGATCTTCCCCAACACGGAGTGGCACGAAGTCCCAAACTGTCTTGTACACTGCCCCACAGATTTACCACACTGACTTGAGATGTTCCCCCCTCCAGACTACCATTCTCATCTACTACCCAGTTCTCCTTAGAAAGGTATATTGAAGCATAAGAAGACATCGACTGAATCCCAATCTTCCATGATAAAGAAACAAGGAACTTATACAAATAGATCATGTTCACCTCACTCACACGGTGATTCCCGATTGTTACCAACAGTGTCCCCTAATCTCGGATCAATCCATCACATGAAGCTCTATTCCCCAAGTAGAACTACAATATTCATCCATGTGGGTTTGTAATAGGGGGACCTCCTGATGTCAGGATCTCCATATTAAAATATACACACTCATGTCTGGTTTGATTTGAGTTCCAGCCTGCTAGGTCCAGTCTGCCAAGTCTTCCAACTTGGCACATCCAACTCTCCCATCTTCCAAGGACCATGTGCCATGTGCCAAGTTCGTCTGTTTTCACGTAACTCATCCATGTTCCTGGACCGGCACACTTCACGGAGGTCTCCCACATTTGAACGTTCCCTCCAGGCATCATCTCTTCATCTCCTCTCCCCATCTCTCCATGGCTTCATCTCCGTCCGCGCGGCTCAATCGGCACCTCTGGTGCCATCGGCGGCTTGTAAGCCCACACCCCTTGGGAGCGCTCCACACCGCGCGCGTCCCTCAAGGGCTCCTCATACAAATAATAGCCAATGCCTCAAGAAGCGGAAGCAGTGACGGATGAATCCAATGCTTGCTGAAGGAATGAAGGAATGGGCGAAGGCTTGATTTTTGGAATCTGGCCGATGTGTAAGGTAGCAAATCAGGAAGGTCCAGCTGGAAGGCATAAAGTGGTGAAGCGATGGGTTTTAGCAGAGTTTGCGGCTGAAGGAAGGGTCCCAAATGTCCAACTGGCTCTTCAGGTCCTGGTGGAGGGGAGCAGCTTGGCTGGATTTGTCATCAGCTTCGGGGTTCGCCCTGTAACTTGGGTTGCTCGGATTGCTATTCTTTATCGCTAGTAGGTTGGAGGTCATCGCTTCCAGGTCGGAGGCCATTGCTTTTAGGTTGGAGGCCATTGCTTTTAGGTCGGAGGCCATTGCTTTTAGGTTGGAGGCCATTGCTTTTAGGTTGGAGGCCATTGCTTTTAGGTTGGAGGCAAGCGTAGCTGGCGGTCACAGACCTCGAACAGCGTGAAAGTCATCAAAGTTCTTGGGCAAACACGACACCGCGGTCGTTATCTTTGGCAAACAGGACACTGTAGTTGGATCACCCACCTGAAACCTAATCCCACCTTTCCTGGTGCCCTCGGCAGATTTGGCAACGACTTGGCACCAAATTCATCCACTGGTCCTTGTGTGTGGCAAAAAAAAACCGGGTGGCTATCTGAAATGCCCTAGGCCCTAAGCACTCTATCTGAAGACATCCTGAACATAGATTAATGCATCATAATGCATCCATGTTTCAAGTACAGTACTTTCTTTTGAGATGACAAGCATTCGACCATCTACCGCCCTCAACCTGTAGCTCTCTCCGCACTGTGTATGCATTCATCTGAGCTAGGAGATGTGAAAGCAATGTTTTAGATGTTTTAGTGGGTGTGCATTGGAACAGAGATAGATCCGACCTGCCCCCAGTTCAACCCCTGCCGAAGATCCGACCATCGCGCGACGCCCTCGAGGGACCCATACCATAAACAGCCGCTGGGGAGTCTCTCCCTCTTCAATTACACTCTGACTCACCAGAAGTGGATGGCATGTCCCCTTGGAAGACTACTTAGACTACTTTCCTTTACGAACTGGGCCGGGGGGTGCTATAAATCCACTTCCACGTGTTTGTCGGAAGTGGAAGGCTTGAACAAACAACACACCTCCTTAAGCCGCCCACTCAGCCCGACTCAGCCGACTCCACCAACTCTTGTGGCCAAGGGGACCATACACGAAGGCTCCCTCCAGCTGTCCAATCTCAATACCCGGATTGATCGATTGCCCCACGTCGTAGAGGATGTCCGAGCGCAAGGGCCTTCCGGCCACGGCCACGGCCCGGGTCTTCCAGCGGACATGTGTCTGTGACCAGCTGACATGCCTGGAAGAGTGTGGATGAATTGTCAGCGATACTGTCAGCGATCTCTTGCGAAAAATGCGTTGGGAATCTGGTTCAAACGGTTTGGACACCAGTCGAATAGGGTTTTGCGCACTCTGCGCTTTGCAATTCTTGCTTATGGTGGACAAGTCTCGGGGTCAGGGTGTCCAGTGTCTCTTTCTTTCAACCCAATCTATAATGGGATCGGTTTCTTGAAGCTGCTTCCCAGTCAGTCCAAAAGCACGGTGAATGGGGTTGGATTCAAGATTCTACTAGATCGAGCGAAAGGAAAGGAATGGCCTGATCTCTCCTGTGAGCACATCCAACTCAACCTCTGAAATGCCTCGGAGTTCCGGAGAAGATCCAGTGAGCGAGTCTGCGGTCTCTACTGAGTCTACAGGGCACCTGTGAGGAGAGAGCTCCCTGCTTTGGGGGAAGAAGGAATTGATGTTCAGCTTTTTGGGGCCCATAGTAGCGTCCTTTGCTCCTAGTAGCGATGCCAGGAGCCACTGTTCAGTTTTTTGGCCCCTGTCACTTGTCACAGTCCCATGTATACTAGAGAGTAAATAGAGATAGCTATGATAGAAAAAAATATACTCATGAGTCCTAAGATTCCTAAGGACGTGACCTACTAAGGGTATATATTACAGTATATTATATATGTTCATTATTATTGTATTAATCCCGGGTACCTATTAAAAAACGGACCCCTATTAGAAAAAAGTCATGTCCGAAACCCCTAAATACGGTTTAGATTTGTTTTTAAATTACCGCCCTTTCAAGCCGCTACTAAACTACAAACATTGCCGACTTTGGAAGAGTTTTTTAAGGTCCCAAAAACAACCGTAACTGCCCACCTCTGTCCGCCCTGTCTATCCACCATGACACGCCGCGCTTACACCAGCAGGCTTTCCTTCCCCCAATGGCACGGACTCACGCAAACGCACTTGCCACCGAGGTCACAGCGACATCACCTTTCGAAAGCTTTAGCTGAAGAATCACTATTCTAATGAAGGTGTTTGTAGCGGAAAAGGAAGACCCTTCGATCTGGAGCTTTTTTTAATTTGTGATACGAGTTTAATAAAGGATTTTATATAAAATTATACTGATTTACTTTTTGGTTTTGAAGCTCTTCCCAGGTGACCTATTTTGGACCCCCCGATTTCAGGGACCCCCTATTAGAAAAAATGCGACCGAGGTTTCCTTATTAGGGGGGGGGGCCTCGTGTTTTTTAATAGGTGGACCGGATTATACATTATTGTACTATACTCTATGTAGTACTCTATGTTTCATTATACGATACTATCTGCAGGTTGTTGGGCGAATCCAAAGCAACTCAAGCCAAGAAAGTCAGATGTCCAAACCTGGCATCGCCTGGGGCAAAGCCGTGGTTCATGGTGGTTCCGTGATGGTTCCATGATGTTCCATGTTGAAAACAACATGGACAACAACAAATTTAACATCCAGGACCTGAGCCGTTCGTGACCTCTTCAGGGACTAAGTGACCTCATTCTGGAATCTCAAAAGGTCACTTTGAAGGTCCATGAAGGTCCTGGACGATATCATTTTGAACAACAACCCATAGGGCTCCAATGTCTCCATCAGATTCTGAGGAAGTTCTTGGAGCCAGTCCTGCAGTCTTGTCCTGCAGTCACGCTTCTGTTGATGATTCTTTGCGGGAGGCAGTCAGACGGCACAAAAGAGAAGCATTGGTCTCCCAAATATGTCAAAGAAGCCGTATCCACCAAAATGATTGGTCTCCAACATCTCTTTTCTTTGCCCGTCATCTCCACCGCACCCACAAAAGCCCATTCACCCGGCATTCCACCGAGCCAAGCGACCAGCACCGTAGGTGAAGTAGTCACCGTGGTAGGTTCCCAGCGCGTTGCCCTCCACATCCGTCGTGTACCTGGACCGTTTGGCATCCAGTCGGACCGTGGACCGTGGGACGTCCTGGCGGACAAGCCTGACGTAGGGGGGGGTCAACTCCACGAAACCATGTTTGGGAGGGTACTTGAACGAGTGGATTCGTGAAATCAAAGAAACCATGGAAAAGTGTCCGAGAAGCCAAGAAACAAGTTTCCTGACTTTTTCCGCAAGTGTCTTCGCAGCAATTTTAGTGATACGCGAAGTGCTTTTTTGGAAGAAACCATTGACTCCATTGACTCCATCAAAGCAATAACGAGCTTGAAGGGCATAAGACCATGGGTATTGACAAAAGAATTGCTTGTGATGGTAATTACATGTGTGTGTGGCGTGTGGATTCTATTTGCATGGAGCTGGCAGTTGAAAATCACACACTAACTACACTACTCAATGTCAAGTATGTCGAACTAGGTCACGACATGTCACGACAAAATCACCACTTCCATGCCTTCCGTGCCCCCCACCACTGACCACAAACCACACCCCTCCATTCTCGTCTCCAAGCCACTTGTTCCCAGCTGGCGAGAAGATGCCTCCGGCGATCAGGGCTTCGGAAAGGGGAAGGTCCACGGTTTTTTCCAGGTTTTTCCAGGTGCCAAGGCTTCTGGGTCTGACCGGGCACATGGGGCCGGCGACCGACCCGGACATCCGCTCGAAGGTCGTAGCCATGAAGCCGCTCGAAGGTTGACCATCCCGGGTGGACGAGGAGTTGACCATAGTTGACCCATCCCCACATGTTCCCACTTGTCGTGAGTTCCCAGTGCGTCCCAGTGCTGGTAGGTGCGTCCCGGCATAACGTCTAGACTCTAGACTGTTCACCTCTAGACTGCAGGCACGTGCTACAAACAGGAACAAACAACGCTCTGAAGGTAAGGACAGGCATTCACTGTCTATCCAGAACGACCGTCACATGTATTCACTGGCGCTGATTTCTTTGGTCCAAAGAAGCAAGCAAACATGCAAAAATAACAGCTGGCGCACAGCGCAAGCAGTTCTGTTATATGAATTCTTTTGAGTGGCTATATATAATATGTATTGCTGTGCCACGAGTACAAACGTTGCAGGGCTGGATCAATGATCGACATTCTAACGGCTTAACCGATAGCTGTCCGGGTTCCCACGTGGAAAAATCACCTACATCCGCACCGAACCCCGCACACCCTCCTCACGGCGTTCGAACGCTGTTCTTCATGGCACCTGTGGCTGATAACTTCTCCTGATGCCCCAGAACCGCGTTGGCTGCGGCGACCAGCTCTGGCCAACTGGGCTCCTGGCCACGTCAAGTCCTTGTCTGTCACTAGATGTTGTTTCTCTTCTCACTAGATCTACCTCTCCCTCACCGGTTTGGTGCCAAAAGAAACGAAACGGGCTCCGCTCCAGCCCCAGTCCTTGCTGTCGCGCTTCACCAAGAACTCTCGGTGAGGGCGCAAGGTTTCCAGAAGTTGTTTACAGGCCTGGCGCTCAAAAAACACAGCCCGATTCCGCCCGAGTTCGGTGGGAAGCCAACCGGATGAGCGATACCAAGAGCTGGGAGATGGGAGGAGCGGTGAAAGCAAGCACCCATGGTGCAAACCACCCCATCATCTGGCAGCATCTCGGATGGTAATGGCAAACACTATACACCAGGAGTCACAAAGGGGTGCTGATCTTGGAGGATAGGGGTGCTCATTATCCACTCAATTAGGGACGAAAAACCATCCTTTTGTGACTCCTGGTATATAATATTACTAAATTAAATGTTAATATTATACATAGCTGCAGGCAAAAAATGGGGACTGTGCCACCTGGTGCCACTCCAGTTCCCTTCTGCGCAGGTCAACTGGCGAAGTTCTGGTAAATGTGCGGGTAACTTGCCCCATTTGAGCCACCAGCCACCTGCCGCACATGTGTTCCGGTCGTCAGGTTCCCACCGCTCGGTTGCTCGTCCGGAGTGTCCATCCGTTGTGAAAAAGAAAAGGACTTCAACCCACCACTGGGCAATTGAACGGTTTACAAACAGGCCCTTCAGGAGGAATGATACTAACAAATCCATATAGGACCTCCAAAGGACTCTAGTATACCAGCTCTTCATGGAAACAAGTTAGGAGCCAGACAACTGTGGAAAAAATAGCACTGTTTTTGAAACCCAAGAAAACCGGTCTCACGCAGCTTCCACCTCCGTGCCAAAACCCACGGCATGGCCACCTGGCGCGCTGCTTCGCACACCACCTCCGTGGTGATGGAACCGCCGGTGAAGCGCGCATTGGGCACGACCTGGGGTGGTGAAAATCGGCAGACCAATGGCAGGACATCTCGACTAACATCCACGAGTGGTTGAACTTCACTCGCTCTCTCGACTCAGTCGTGTCTCTCAATATATTCAAACATATTGGGCATTGGACTAAGGCCACTTTCCTACGAGAAACCTATACCAAAGGTCCATTGATGCCATCGGTGGCCTCGGTGTTGGTGTCGGCCACGCGGATCAGGTCCAATGGGCAGCCCAAGGAGACCTCGGAGCGACGAGGAGCAGGACCGGAGATGGCACCGGGGTTTCCTTCGGTTGGTTCATTAACACGAACTATCAAGAAGGGGATCGATGCTAAAAAGGGTATATGTTTTACTATGTCTGTTTCAGTTGTTTTTTTTTTCAGACGGGTCTTACATCCTCCACACTCACCAAAGTCAAATGGTGGTACAGACTGGAGGTGGTTTAGAATGGAAGGAGTTTTTCTCATCTCAAAAAACATCGAAACACATAGTAGTATGGTAATAGTATGATCCTATATGTGTCTTTTAATCAACAGTCAATATTAAGATGTCTCTTTTTGAAGCTCAGAGCTGTCACACAGGCTTAACCACTTGGGAGAGTGATGACTCAGGCTGACTCAAGGCGTTTTGACCATTGAATCTATAATTTGATAAAGCAGGCCTATATACACAGTTCCAGCTTTCCAAACTGGAATAACTATGTAACTATGAACAACTTCATTATCAACATCTAGACTTCTTCAGCAATTTGTGTGAGTCCAAAAGAACGCCGGATTCAAACGAAAGAACTTCCCTTGTTTATCCCAAGACACGGCCACGACCTGCGCCACCTTCGTGTGGATGCCTGCCATTGCAGGGGTCAATGACTTCGGTACTGCGGAGGAGGGTGTTGCTGTGGGCGGAGTGTGGGGTGTCGCTGCGGCTTCTCGGAAGACTGTATGAGTTGTGGGCGGAAAAAGTCTGCTGGGTGAGGTATTCAGAATTGATAGACTTCGTTGGAGGAAATCCCTGCCGTTTCAAGGTCGACGTTACACAACAAGGACGCTATGCTCGGTGGAGGCCATCGCAAGTAGATTGGAGGCCAGGAACATATACATAGTAACAAGCAGCTACGCACGTAACGGCCAAGGACGCTATGCTCGGTGGATTGAACCAACAACGATGAAACTCAAGGAGGCGGCCGAGCGAAACAGTTGGGGCACTCCCTTTTTGCGAACGCCTCCGGTACCTCGGCTCCCTGCAGAGGTTTTTTCCCCCCTAGCGACCCGAGACGTGTTTTTGGGAACCGACCCGCGCCTCATCTGAGGAGGTGCTTAGATGCTGAGAGTTTGGAGAGTCAAGCTTACATCCAACCTTCTGAGGATGTCTTAAGTATATGTGAATATACTCTGGGTGCCAGTTATAGGTATACCTTTCACGAGAAAAATTTGACTACCTAGATCAGAGTAGGATTAGATCAGAGCAGGGTCGCATGTATCAGCAGAAATGTCACATTGTTTTTTGTTTTTATGTTTTCGCATGTTTTTCACATGTTTTATCAATGTTCCACATGTTTAATCATATCTTCACATGTTTAAACATATATTCGCTCATTTTTTGCACTTTTTGAAGAATAGACTTATTTTGGGGGAAAACGCCTCAAGCACAACATTGTCAATCAAATTGTGTTTCTTGGGGAGAAGTTGTTCCAACAGCTGAACACAACTGACGATGATGTCATCCACCGCGCACAGGACGAACCTTGGACGACAGAAGTTGCTAAGTTTTACATAATTCAAGTGACAAAGCCGGTGAAGGCCCTTGGGCCAGAAGAAGCCCAATGCAACTCAGGGAAGCAGGTAGAGCAATAACAGTAAAGTTGATTCACTTAGTCTGGCGTGGTCGTTGAGTTGTTTCTATTTCTAAATGTTTCTAATGGTGTCTAAAGGCCTGTCTGCTGTCTCCAAGAGCTTCACTGCAGCGCTGTGAGAAACACATGTTTTGCGCTCTAGGCAATGCAAGCACTCGTGCATACAGTAAAACCAGGAACATCTGCTGACCGCCACCATACATTTGCGGCATCATGGGACCGCCAAACATCTGCGGCATCATTGGCGGCGTCATCCCTCCAGACAACGTAGACGCCCCACGAGCCTTCTTCTGTGCCCGGTTCACTGCATTGACCACCGACATGGCAACAGCAGGGTAATCAGAAGCGACAAAAGACTTTGAGAAGACACTTGACTGCAGCAGTCATATCACGGTCCAGTTTGCATGTGAAATCCGCCGACCCCGGTCGAAGAAGGGGGAGCGCGCAAGGGAGTACCGTCACTTAGGGGTCAGAGCCGTGGCGGGGTCAGGTGTTCGGAGCCAGACTTTGCACAAGAAATGAAAGAAAAGTTTTTTTTTAGTAGGGAGATTTCGAGGGAGCAGAATTTGCACAAGAAATGAAAAAACAGTTTTTTTCTAGGGATTCAGAGGGAGCGTTTGGCATGGAAAGTGCAACCCCTCAAACCCCT